CGCATTCTGGAGTTGAAAACGAAGATTTTGCCATAATTAAGGGGGCGATAAGTGAAGCCATAGTGGGAGCCCGTTTTGGGAAGGAGACGAAGGAAATTCGAGTTGGATACAGACACTTACTTTTGGCTGACTCTCGGACTGACTCGCTGATTTTTGGGCTTGCTGGACAAAATGTAAGTGACTCCGAGAGGTGTTTTTCCGGCGGGGAGCGGCAAATATGCTCCCCGGCCGCGTTTTGGTTAAGAGGCGAGACTCTCTTACACCACTTACTCTGGACTCGCTTAGGCACTCACTGCTTGGATTCGCTGACTTTCGGGCTTGACGGACTTGTTGACGGAGACTGAGAAAAAATTGTGGGTGTTGCGAAGGAGAAAGGAAAAGATTTAGTCGGCATCGAGCAGTGCTTCCGGCGGGGAGCGGCAAATTATGCTCCCCGGCCGCGGGTTTTCTCAAAAATGCGAAGAAAAAAAAACTGTTGAGCGAATAACAAAAAAATTAACAGAGACTTGGGTCTCTATCTGTATCGGCAAAAGTCAGGACGATGTCCTCTGAACTCCGACTTGAAAACAGAAGGAATTATGTCACCTTAGTCAACTGGAAGCCTGCGTTAGCCGTTCTCTAAAATGCCTAGCTTAATTGTCTACGTTTTTCCTTGGTGGAGCTGAGAGTCTAGGCAGACAGCCGTGCGGTGTAAGTAAGCTGTTCTCTTGCTTCCAGTGGGAATAATTTTCTTCTATGGAAAACCAGTAGCAGGCGTAAGATTTGACGGTATAGCTGATGTAATTTATTGTCGTGCCGTTCGAGTCTCTGTCTTGCGGATTTGCCAAGTGACGTAAGGATAGAGCTAAGATATGAGCTCTCCTCCACTTCAAGATGTCCACTCAAGATAAGTATTATTTTTTTTGGTGTGTGTGTTGGAACTTTAGGCAAGTTTTTCCAAAAACGTCCTTAGCAGTAAAAACAACGTCGAATCTAAAATTTAACTCTCAGGCCATAAATTGTTTCCCTTTCCTTTCTTTTAAATCACCAGACAAACCTTAAGTTTTTTTATGAATTTAAATGAACAGACTCTCAGATGAGGTTAAGATTTTTCTTATTGTGTTGTAATTGAATAAACTGATATTTAATCTGGAACCTCTTACAGTATGTTTTCTTTATATATTTAATATGAACTTTTCCTTTATATCTTGTATATGTTTTATGTTTTCGATCCTCTCACGGCGCGGTCCCGGAATGCATTTTTTTTCACAACGCAAAAAAAATGCTGTACACGTTTCACTATACGATCACTCCCTTTAACGGCAAGTAGTTTCATATTTAACATTTTTATATGAATTTAAGATATAACATTGGTGCCGTGAAGTAAGATTCATAACATTATTTCCCGGCGTGAACTTAAGCTATTTAACAATTTTAATTATATAAAAAGTTTTGCATGATTTGTTTTAGGAAACAAAGTTTTTAACTTCCTTTATACCATTTGAATTCTTAAGATTTAGCAATGGGAAGTTGGTTAATTTATTTATTAAGATAAATTAATATCTGTATTAAGGGATATTACTTATTTCATTGTAATGATTTTTATATGTAATACATTTTTAATGAAATTTGTTTTTTTATTATTATTTTAATAAAGCTGTTCTGCTGAGTAAAATTCTGTGCAGTTTTTAAGTTTAATGTTTGGTGTTCCTTTCCGGCATTTTTCTGACACATTTAAATGTCAGACGTAGGTCTTAATGTAATAAGAAAGTTCTCTTTAGAGGGCTATTCCTTGTATGGTAAAAAAATGAAAATTAACGTTTATTCTCATCAAATCCTCTGATTAAATTCTCTAGCGAATTGAAAAAGACGCCCAATCTGCTTTCAGGGGTGTCAGCTTTCAAACACGACACATAATTTTGAAAACTGGTCATATACAAAATAACAATGAAAACTGGTCATATACAAAATAACAAACATCGATGCATTCAAACATTTTTCCCCCTGAAAGCAAACCAGGGAGGTAATTAGGAATTTTCAGAACTCAGACATCGGATGCTGTGGTCTGTAAATTAATCGAATTGATCAAGAAATGTATATTAATTTCAATCAGCTATACATTTAATTTTATTCAATCTTGTCACCATTATGCATTTAAGTTCAGACGGTTGGGAAAAATGGATGAAGAGGGATTAAAAAATAACTCTTCAACAATAAAAGTATAAAATTACAGATAAACTAATGAATAAATAAAATCATGATTTTTTTTTTTTTTATTTACGGTCATTTTGGCTAATACGGTTTTAAGGTTGTCATTTCTTCCTGTTTGTGTAACAGCATCACAAATACTTAAAGATAAAACATCATCCAGGCCCAATAAAACGTTAGTTTGATAAATTATACTGCTTTCTACAAATTAAAAAAAATCACAATAAATCCTTTAAAAAATTAAATATTGACAAAAAAAAAAAAAGTCATATATCTAGGAGTGCGAGGTAACTCCCTTTGCGCTGTTAATGATGCTACAGTTAGAATATTCCAATTAGACGTTGAAAGATGACAACTAGTTCTGCAATGTGGAAAAAGTCTAAAAAGATCCACTCTTTTAAATACTCTTAAAATGCACTAAAAAAATACTAAAGAAGAATTTCATACTGCAAAATGAAGTAAGAACATGCACTTTTACATGCTAACATGGGGATACTAAAGATGACAACCCCAGTCCTAGCATGGGTTTAAATCCCGGCGGAACATATGAATGTCCAGATATATCTTCGCAGTACTAGGCACTTATGCTACTATCAAGCCTAATATCCTCTCGGAAGGTTGGTGTTATGGTAGAAGATCCTCAGACCTGTCTTAGTCCATGGGATGGACATCTCTGTTTCTCGCGGATCTAAGTCATTCGCAAGCATCAATTCTGCAGTTTCTACTTATGCATGAATTGCAAGACCAGATATCTGTCCGGCTTTAAAATTATGAATAAATAACGGGGTGTACTATAACTGATGCAAAGAGATAATAACATAGAAATGAGCACACTCAAGAAATAAGGAAATTTACATTAATTTGTAAAGCGTTATTAATACTTTTACGTAGTCTTCATTTTAGTGTCTATTTTTATACTTCACTAAATGACTTTATTCCGAAAAAGGTGTTAAGGTGTGTACTCGATACTACTGGTTCATGACGGAGACAATTTTAGCGTGGCTCTCAGATTTTCTACAATATTTGACTGACTGTATGGATCATCGTATTTCAAAAACCGATTTCGTAAAAATCCAGATGGCATGGAAGTTTGAAAGCGTATGGAGTCTGTGTAGCAAGGGGATATTTAAAATACGCCGCAGCTGGAAATCCTTACGATAGGTTGGTGGTAGAAAAAGATGAATGGGAGAACTTCGGACCGTCTCTTAGGGCTTTTTTCCTCGGAATTCTAAATTGAACTGGAAGCTTAGAGGTTAGAAAGGTCCGGCGGTACATAATATGCCTATGTGGATGTGTTGATCTTGCTTCAACCTGTACCAGTACCAGCAGTCCTTATTGCTTTTACATTATTGTAACAACGATATGCCTTGAAACTCATTTTCTGGCATCCCAATGCTTTTACATGATCGCAAAATCGATATGTCTTAATATGTCTTACAACTCATTTTCTGACTTCAATTTCTAACGCAAAATATACAACTTGTCATTCTTTTAGCTTGTGAATGTGAAATATTTCTAATAACTGCATTAATTTTTTTTTATTTCTTTTCTATTCCTTTATCTTTACAGAACTTTATACATGTGATAATTATAACGATCCATTTTTCTTTCTTCAAATCTCCTAGAAATAATAATTGATAGTAATATTAGAAAACAGATAAAAATTTCATATAACCGAAAAAAAAATCCCGGAAAGTGCGAGTGCCTGATAGGTAAATTCATGAAAGATTTGCTTCCGAGGACCTTACAATTTTGGATAATATCAGAAAAAAATCGCTGAAACTCGATTAAGATTCCAAATTCTTTGTGGGCAACTACACAAATAAAAAATGCAACAAATCTGAGCTGACACCAAAACAAGGCTGGCAAGTTCTTTCTTAGCCGAAACATAACATGGAAAAATCCGGCCGGAAGAAATAGGTTTCTCTTGCTAAAATTAAAGAAACTATAGGGTCTCACTCTCTTTGGTAGTATAAATGAGTGAGCTGTAGAAAAACTACAGAGGAATAATCCTCTTGTCTTAAACTGTAGACAAAGTCAGAAGAAGGGTGTAAATAGCCCTTTTATTTTAAACAAAAAATAACAATAACGCAAACTGGGTTTACACAAACCCAACACTTCTAGCTTAATTACGTAATGCTGAACTAATTCAAATGTACTAGATTAGCCTTACGGCTCACAGGAAAATTAAAATGCGCAGGAAAGGTTCTGGTTTGTAGAAAACTGGTGAGGCAGGTTTGCATGGCTAGAACTTAACGCTACCGAGTCAAACAGCTAATAGTCATGGTACAACGTGGTTTGGAATAGACAGAACACGCTCTAAAATTAACTTGCGTAACCTTCGCTTAAATAGCACTTCTTTCTCCCTTCAGTCCTGAACTAAACGATCGCTATCTCATTTACATCATGGCATGAAAAGAGTGGGTGAAAATAGAATAATAAGGAAGCATTAATGCTTAAAAATAACTATGTAACTATTAGTTAAAAATAAATCATCCGTAGCACTGTTACATTACTAACATAAACATTTTCATTTTCTACATAATTTAGTTAGCATCATTTGTTTGTTTGAAATAACAGTTTTTGGTACGTGTAAATAATATATCTATATATATATATATATATATATATATGTAACGAAAACTATTATCAAAAATATCAGAACTACGCCGAGACCCGTCAACGGTTGTTCTGCACAGGTTCTTAATAGATACGTATATAAACTTTAATAATAATTAGACACAGTGAGTCTACTATTAGAATATCTGTTTACAATTTCAATATTTATAGAAAAAGAAATAAATTTTATCTACTTGAATTCTGCACATGCTTCTTGACGAATAAACACTCGACATCAGCATTTTCATAGTTTTCTTTGAAGTAAAGCAGGAACTAGGATATTATTTAATAAACAGAACACAAATACAATATAATAATTCAATTCAATACCATCATTAAATTCATAGAACACTTCTATCACTAAGCAAACACGGATTAGAACATGCATGGCAACGCCAAAAACTGATGCCATCCACAAAAAAGAAAGATACATAAAACTCGCGTCATTAAAACATTAATACATTAAAAGTCTCGTGTTCATTCAATAAAGTTATTCATAAAAATGTCTCGTGAATATCTTCCGAAGTTTATTGACGGCATTACGTAACATCCTCCCACCTTGATTTGCCACCTTCGAGGTAAATCAACAAAGTTCGAAAGTTCAATAGCCCAGTCTCTTAGGTGTCTTGATTACTCTGCCGCTTCTTGACGTCCGAGGAGCTGCTGAAACATCCTTAATTGGATTTCTGAATTGGATTGATCATTCTGTGATGTTGCTGGTGGGTCATTAGTAGTATGTTGATCTGCTATAATGGGATCCCCAGAAGAATTAACTTCTAGAGGGTAAATTTTTTGGACTGGACGAACGAGATGACCAAGTGTTAACAAAGTTATTTAATCGTCAAGAAACATGTGCAGAATTCAAGTAGATAAGATTTATTTCTTTTTCTATAAATATTGAAATTGTAAACAGATATTCTAATAGTAGACTCACTGTGCCTAATTATTATTAAGGTTTATATACGTATATATTAAGAACCTGTGCAGAACAACCGTTGACGGGTAGTCTCGGCGTAGTTCTGATATTTTTTGATAATATTTTCGTTACAATATGACATGATATGAATAATTTGGAACTTTGGCAGCGTAATAGATGCGTAGCGAGATACGAGCGCAGAAATTCGACATATTCCAGTTTATTTCAGTATCCTACAAGAAATCTTTTTCTAGGAAACCCCAACACTGAAAAGCCTGGTATTCCCATCTAATAAAGTGGTCCCTTCTTTAAACACATTCTGTAATCGTTTCCTTTCATTATACAAGTATTTGAAACTTGTATATTCTCCAATTTCAAGACATATTTAGAATGCGATCAAAATATTAAATTTATTATAGTCTGGTACTTTATATAAAGTAATTCAAGGCCATTGTCAGTCTTGTCCCCATTTCGGATCGTACCTCGTGTCGTCCTCCCCGCATAGCATTACTTTCTGCACGTTATTTGCGCCTTTAGTTGAGGTAGCCCTCATTGGTGGGCTTTTCACGAAGCGAAATATGCTAAATGGAAGTGAACTGCGGGAAAAAATTAAGAAAGTCGACTTTTTTCCCGAAGCATTGTTTCCACGGTTATCAGTGAAATCTGGCGGCGGAAAAATAATTTCGAATTTCTTATTTTAAAGTAGCAGACTATAACAAACTCCTGCATTCTTTCCGAACAATTACAAAAAAAGTTTGCCATTTCAAAAACTTGATTCAACTTTTATTTATTTTAATTCCAGAAAATGATTATACATACTACAACATTATAACTGATATATTAAATTATGATTAAAATATACATATTTTTTTAAGTATTTGTTGAATACCAAATTCAAAACACATTTGCAAAGCGCAATTTGAAAAAGTACCGATTTTGGCATTTAAATGATTCATAGCTGATAATATTCATTACAGATAACAAATTTTATAATATAACAATAACGCAAATATTTCAACTACATGATCCATAAACAGTAAAAATTAACAATCAAATGATTCATAAAAAAAATCACAAAATTGAGTGAAACTTACACAGTGCGTCTACAAAGATTCAGGACTAATTCCTAATAGAATAGCTGACGGAAACTTTATCATTGTTTAGCATTTTACGCGTATATCTTATTACATTAGTATGTTCGTAGAAATTCCAAGATACATGTCTTAACATGTTTGCAGGACTGCTGAGACATATATCCCTTGCTACATTTGTAGAGCTTCTACTCCACCAGTGTCGGAGTGGATAAGACTGAAGAATGCTGAGACTTCTATCCTAGGCGAAAGGCCTGATTGGTTTTTGTGGTTTACCCCGTGAGTAACGTGAATATGAAGCAGATTCGAAGGCATCCTTTGATCTAGACATCCCTTGATATAGCCCAATAATCAGTTTTCTTATTGAGCCTTTTGGAGTCTAACCTGGTTCTTTCTAGAAATTAGATCTGTTACTCCTGCAAAACATACTGAATCTAATGTTTTCTCCTTCAAACAGATATTCCTTAAGAATTAATTTCTACCAGCGAAAAAATTATTTTAAAAACGTCAATACACTTCTAAACATTGAGTTCGAATTTTCTCCAACTCATGTAGATCGCCTCCATGTTATGTAAAGCAACAATAATAATGATTATTTGAAAATTTTTTAATTTCTGTATCTCGTTTCGATCACGTCCTAACTGATTTCTGTTTATTATAGTTATTAAACCTGCAATAACAGAAAATAACTGCATATCTTTATATAAAACTGTCATTCAAATGTCTTTCCATGCGATGTCGAATATTTTAGTAATATTTGTCACTAATTATGATTCGCAGATTCAGATAAACTGACTAAAACGTCGTAGACGTACTATGTATAACATGATTTATATAACAATGGTAAGTTTCAACAAACAGAACTGAAATTTTAACACAGAGATCTAAATGGCAATTAATAAAAATGAACCATTCATTGAAAGCGAAAGCATTAACAACTTAGAGTTTGGTTAAACTTAATACCTTGTACAACACGTTTCACAAACAAATTCCACATTTTACTAAGAAAAATTATTTTTAACAACATTATATTACCTTCTCTTTCAGAAAATTCAAAAATACTAATTATATTTATTGAAACTAGTTTCGAAGCCGATATTAATTAATTAAATTTTCAATATTCTTTCCCTTTCAAAGATTATTTCTAATATAATATATACAGACACCTAAAACTGTAATAGCAAATAAAATTACAGCATTGCATCTGGACAAGTATTCAGTATCACAATGGGATAAAACAAGTTTTAACTGAAAGAGCAATGTATTCAATATTTTCGTATCTTGATGTTCTATTTAATGCTCATTGTTTTACTTGTAGCTTTACTCTATTGATGTTGCATCTAACGCCACTTTGTTTTAGGCTGAATATTTTCACGCACACAAGCATACTCAAAAGCATAATATATAGAGAATCACATCCTATCAGAGAAACTTTTTTGTCATATGCTCTAACTTTTAAAGTAAAAATTAATTTTTCCAGAACACAAGAAACAGAAAGAACACTGAAACTTGTGAATTTTTAGATAAAAAGAATTAACATTGTTAAAAAATGTAATGCAACAAGTAACAGGATTATATACAAGTACGAGTACGCATATATATTTGAGAACAAATTAAGAGTCTTAACTGATTTAAAGTTAAGAAGTTTAAACTCTATTACTATATTTCTTGAACTTATCATATTTTACTAATAACAAAATTAAACTGTTCAAAACGGTTGCTAAACGACAAGACAGAGAAACTCCTATCTAGTTCCTTCAGTTATACATTTTTATCATTATTTTATTGGTTTAAAATTAAGTTAAGTATCCAAGATCTTTTTTAATATTTTCTTAAAATACTACATTTTTTAAAAGTATCACTCACACATTTTTATGTAATTTTCTTATGAAAATCAAAAACAAAATTTAAAATTCACAAAAGAAAATATTCTTAAAACAAATTTCAAAATTTTAAGGTTTTTTAATTTTGTTTCAAAGCAAATACTTTCTTACATAATCATTACGCACTCACATGATCATTCAATTCCAATGAAGAATTAAAGAAGATCAGAAAAAGGAACATTATATGAATATAATTTTGAACAAGCTTCAAGGACCTTCGAAGATGTGAGATATATAATGAAAGGAAATTAAATAAAAAGACTAAATTATAGTTTGCCTATTGTGGAACTCAAATAGAGGTATTAAAATATCGTTAACTAGTAGATAGCAGATTAAAATAATTCCATCATTGCCACCAGATTACGAATAATATCATCACCTAATTTCATACATAAGTAAAAATTCCATTCACACTTCTCAACGGCTTTTGAAATAGTGCAATAAATGAAATCTCTGGACTAATTTAAATATTCACCCCTCAAAGAAATTTATCATCCGCTTTTCAATTTTTTATCCGCCACACGTTCGCATCAACAACAAATTTCTGTTCTAAAATTGTTTCAAAACGTTTAACAGTTTTTATGCGTTTCAGACATGCAAAATTATTTCATCGTAAACATATTTCAAAATTAGTTAACCTCCTACGTACACAGAACTTAGCAGAATTATGCAGATAATTGCAATGTTTTCTGTGAATTTAACCAATACATGCATTCTGATATAAAATATGTATCCCCATATACCTGTATTCCGTAACATTGCAAGTCAACTAATAATAAACTGACATTAAAATTAGTAGTAATTCATTCTTAGAATGATTTTTGATTTAAAGTAAAGCTCAATACATTTCGGGATAACTGGACTAAATACCTCTTTTCTGAATATTTTATTAAATCATTATGATGAGTTAATAATAATAGACTATTATTATTAACTCATCATAATGATTTAATAAAATTACTTTTTAAGAAATAACTCATTTCTTAATAAACACATGTCCTCTAAGCACGATTTTCCATATTACTGTAAGAACACTTTAAAGGCACATTTAGCACAAACTTACTCATATGTAAAATGCTTCATCAAATTCCTCTATAAAATATGTGAATTGAAAATATTTTAATATAAAAACAGTTTAACTACTATAGCTCGCATCATTTCTTTCTTTCTTCTTTTTTTTTTCCTTTATTTACCTGATGTTTCTTAAACTGTGAGAAATGCTTCATGTTCCGAGTCTCCAACAGCATTTAACTACAAATTAATTTTCACTGTTACCGATATAAAATTTAGGTCCCCTTGTAATAAATATTGTGTTTTGACAATGTGACTCTTGCTCAAGTTCCACAGCCTGTTGCTTCTTCAATATCAAGAGAGTAAAGAATTTTTGAGCAACCTGTAATAAATGTATATAATGATATAAATGACTACTTGAAATATAGATTCATTATTACTTTTTAATAAAACTTACTTCGATAAAACTATTCGTAGTTTTATTTTCAATTATGCTTACTTCCTTTCGCTTGTTATTCTGTACTAGGTCAGCAAAATTTATATTCTGACAAGAACGCAATCTTGTACGTAGGAGGTTTAGCATGGAGACAGTCCTCTTGACTACTTTTCTTTCTTCAAACTCTTCGTAAGTTTCATCTACAGCTTGGTCCTCACTAGAAACCTAGAAATTAAAAGCATATGATAATATATTTTATCTTAATGTATTGATTTTATGCGACATCTTAATGTCATATAAAATGTCCCCCCTTTTTGTTTTGTTTTAACACCTTCACTATAGAAATCTAGTCGTAAACATCTTTATTTTGCTTTTGAGCCGAGACTATGAAGAAAAACTAAATGTCACCTTAATACAGTTTAAAAAATAGGAAATTAGATGCAATGTGCAATACAAAGGTAAGTTCATTTCAAACGTGCGAAAAATAATTGTGACTAAAATATTTTGTAATATTCTATCTTATATATAGGCGGCTTAAGTGTTTGTTGCTGATAGTTTATTGGTTGCTTGCATCACTGTAAATTGTTTTATTCCCGTGCAATGCAGCGCGTGACGAATATTATGAGAAAGCTAAGCCGGAAAAATTAAAAATACAAGAGCACGTGCATTTAACATTTAATAAATAAATTTAACATCTATATATAATAGAATTCGGAAATATTTAACTGGCAAAACCGGCAACTATGAAAAAAACAAATAAAATGAAATAAATAAATATCTTTATTATATGCGGCTTAAGTGTCTGTTTATCGCCGACAGTTTATTGGTTACTTGCGTAACTATACTAGCCAATTGATACGTAGCAATTTCTTGTAAAACTTACCTTCGCTATAACCATCAATAAGTCTCAGGGCCAAACGCTTAAGCGTGTTGGAATTTTTTTTAGCTGAGCCTGCATTTGGACGCGGTCAACTTTATGTTGCCTGTTCAAGAGTTTGTGAAAGAACGGACGTAAAATTAAAAATAATGGATGGTCCCCTGCAAGGCGAGCTTAAAAATGATGGAAAGATCTACACAAGAAATGTTGTGTACAAGGAGATCTTTGACATGTGAATTAACATTTTATTATTTAAATCAGCTTTATTTGTTGAGCTAGTGGTGGCTGTTAAGAAATGTACCGCCTTCATTGCACTCTACTTTAAGCAATTAAGTAAGTAAAAAGGGGAAACCCCGTGGGGCAGTAAGCAAAGGGGCGTCCACGCCGCCTGACCTGGGTAAATCAGTTTGAATTAGCAGACACCTTTGCACAAATCATTTTAACTAATAATATCTAGAAGAGAGGTCATTTCGTATGACCGCCGGGCTTTCTAGTTTATAATAGGTAGTCCAGCATTTTTCCATTTTTGGTTTCTTTGGATTGCCTTGCTGTCCTAATCGATTTCCCAAAAATAATTAAATAAATAAAATAAAAATAAATTTTAAAAAACTTAAATGGACATACAAAACTTCAGCTGAAATCTCAGATTTAGAAATTACACAAAGCAATTCTCTATCACTTTTCTTTCCGAAATTGAAATTTTATGCAATTTCTTACCAATTACTCTTCTTGCAGACTTCCCACTCTCGTCCTAGAGAAAAAAGAGGGATTTAAAGTACCTCCGGTGCTTCTTGCAAGCATACATCCAAACACAGAACAAATTGCAGTAAACAAATTGCTAAATTCGTAGCCAAAACCACCTCATTAAGGCGAGTAAAAAATTTACTTAATTTTTAGTTAATGAGGTAAAGATTGTTCAAACTCTAATAAGCTTGAATTATTAAAAACTAATATAAATTTTCTTCTATTAATTTCTTGATATAATTATATTTTATTTAAATGTATTTTAAATATATAAACATCTTGGTAGAAATATTTGCTTTCGAAAGGGACAAAAGTAAAGTGCTTCGCAAAGCATTTTAATATTTATAAAAGTGGTCCTCAGCTGAAAAAGTTAGCGAAACGCTGATGTAGCCCTACAGAATTTACATTCGTTTCGAAGAAATATGCAAGTTTTTGTGACCATTCTTTCGGTTCTTATGAAAATTGTGATTCAAATTCTAATTTCAAGGATTGTACAAGCGGGGGTATAAACGCTTCGCTTGGGAAAAACGGAACATGGCGGTGAAATGCGTTCAGTGGTTTGTGGGAAATGCCATGTGATTTAAAGAATGAAACAGGACAAACACTAACATAGGTCATAGAAGAACTAAACGTAGTCTTAAACGTAACGTCAAAAGTAAGACACTGGTGATGCATGCAAGTAACGAGATCAAGATCCAAATAGTGCCACAACAAACTCATTTCTGGAACGAATAGCACTTGCTTTCTGCCTCTCTTGCTAATTAGACGCTGCCGAGATGCTATCTTATTATCACAACGCTATCAAAAATAAGTTCCGGAATACGCACGATTCGCATGCCAAGTTATTTTTGGCCGCAAATGTTATCTAAAATAAAAAGGGATATTGAAATCTAAAATATCACATCTAGCCAGTAGAATCTCATCTGTCTAAGGAAATCCTTACCTTAAAGAATAGTCATTTAAAAATTAAAACAAGTATGTTTGTTTTCAATTGAAATTCTAGGTTCTTGAACGCGATGCCTGCACAATGTTTCATCTATACCATCAAATCCCCACTGTGACAAATTCGATGCAAACGTAAAGGGGAAAAAGTGTATAATAATCTCTGATTGAATAAGTGGTTCAAAATTAATCAAACGTGTGTTTGTAATAAATTGAAATCTGTTTTTTTACACAGTGAAGTCTTTAGTCTTTAAAGTGAAGTTTGTTTTTTAGTTGAATTTTTTTCTATTAGTTGGTGTTTCCATTATTGTTACAGAAAATACGAGTACTATTGTTGGCGAAATAGTTTTCACTAAACTTTTAACTTCTGCGTCACGTTCATCATATGAAAACTCGGAATTATTATCTTAATGAATCATATTCCTTTTTAAGTGACACAGAATTATCAAATATGCCAAAGGATTTACATTTTGCATCTAAATATAGTCAAAAATTTCTGAAATTTGATTTGTTTTGAAAAAAATATAAATACATATTCTTAAAAAATTGAAAACGTCATAATTTGAAAAAAATCTGAATTCATAGGTTTTGAGTACATTTTATATTATTTATTGAAAAATTTTCATAGCCATGAGAAAAGTATTTTATTCATTAATTAGTTTAAGTTAAAATATTTATGTTGTTTAACCTATTTTATGGTTTTTTTGGATTAGTACATTTACTTCTTCTCCTTCTCCTCACCAGGGCTTAAATAGTTAAAAATTTTCAAACCTAGGATTTTGAATCTTTGAGATAAGAGCAAGCGACTTTACTCTCGCCCTGCTCTCCTAGTAAGTATTCCGGCATTAGCTATTTTGCTAGAAGATGTTAAATCGCACCACTTTGAGCCAATAATCTGTTACGCAAATTTGGTGAGGTCAAGGCTACGATTCTATTTTAGATTGTATTTTAAATTTTCTGTTTAATATTCGAATGTGGCGGAGTGTTACCGTAAGCTCAAACTGTGTTACTATTAATTTCCAAGTTTTAATAAAAAGGCTTATTTAAAAAGCCTTCACCCTTTTTAATACAGAATCAATTTTTTAGTATTAAGAAATGTATTAATGCGGTTCTCAGAGAACAGTTACCTTATACTAAAAATGGGGGCCTTTATCTGCCCAGCAGCACTTGACATAGTTCACTAGTCAGTGAAAGCAGATATGGCAAATGAGATGGAAATGTTTATTGTTAAAAATAGCCTTCCAGTTAGTATAAAATAAGGAACTAAAAATGAAATACAGTACAAAGTCCGAAATCAGGACGTCCATTATCCGGGATGATCTAAAATCCGGACCTTAAAACCACCATCAATGTTTTTCTGGTAGGCTTTACGCATATGCATTTGATCCCCCCTCCGTGAGCCATGAAACATATGCAGAGTCCCGATTCTTAATTTCACTTCGACACTAAATAAAATACCTTGTTATTGAAGAAATAATCATTTTAGCATAAATTTGTACGATCAGTAATCTGGCTCCGTTGCTGCGTATCTGCTTGGCACGCATCTCAAACCGAAACATTCGACATAGATACATCGCTGATGTGAAGCCAACCTGGCGAATCATTATTTCTATGTTAGTATTTGAATAATAAAGGAGTATGGTAACCTTTTATGTTGACATCACGTTTGGCGATGATTACAGATTTAAGTTCAATGCGCTAAAAAATATTGACGGGAAAAATTTACCAAATTTTTTTCTATATGCTAAAACTCGATCCTGTTGATGATGCTCATAGACCCAACGATTACATTTAGGACTATTTGAATTAAGAATAATATTAAAAAACAGATTTACAATTCAAAAAAAAAACAAAAAAAAAAAAAAAAAAAAAAAAAAAAAAAAAAGCCAAAAAAAAAAAAAAAAAAAAAGAAAAAAAAAAAGAATTAACAGCCCAGAACCAGCGCCAGGGCTCGTATGGCCGCAGCCAGTCGCAGAATTTGAGACTACATCAGGCGGTAAGATATCGCCGGTCCTCAATAAGGCTTAAGTATATGTGGGAATTTATTTACTCAGAACTCTGATAAGCCCTAAGCATGTGCAAGAAATAGACATAACTATGATAAATAACTAAACTAATACAATTTAGGCTTAATTGTCTCAGTGCGCGACAGAAGCAAGATAAAATTTAACGGAACAACTTTTCGTTAGTCGCCAAGCTCATGATGCATAGCCGAATATGTATAGTGAAGGATAGCTAAATTCGATAATGATAGCCGCTAAAGGTTTTCGGATATCGCAAAACAAAGGTGAAATTTTCCAATTAACGGATTTTGTCAAGAAATGTGGAGAAGCGGTAATAAATGAAGATGATATAAAAGAAGTTTTTCATTGTGATGACAATGCTTCTCGGTCATCAAACAATCAATGAATGGCGAAATCTGTAGTGTGGTTGGTTCTAGATCCAGAAAATACCCTACATAGTGAAGGTGACAGAGAACGAAAAAGAAAATTTCGATTGAAGTTAGTCTTCTCGAAACAGCAGTTATATTTATTGTAGAGTTGCGCGCCTCCAACCTGCACGCAACCAAGAGGTGACTGTTGAAACTGGAAAATAGACAGAGTCTTGCTAAGGGTTTAAGTCCCTTTTTATTCAACTTAAGAAATTACAATTGCGTGCTCTT